CTTACAACTCTTGTTACAATCCATACATCAATTGTATCAGGCATATTAGTATATATCTATTGTCATCGTTCTTTCCTAGACATTTACTTTCTTTTTTTAAAAATCATTTTATTAGGGGCTCTTACAACTCTTATGACAATCCATACATCAATTGTGTAAAGCGCATTTGTAGACATTTACTTTCTATTGAGCCCTTGGCATCAGCTCCTTTTTCCCCCCATCCCCACCCCAGCACTTTATCATCCTTTAACATTTAAAGTTAACTTTTAACATTTGAACTTATACTTAGTGGCTGCTAAAAGCAAATAAAGGGCTCTGGTGGCACTGTGGGTTAAGCACTGGGCTGCTCACCAAAAAAGTTACCACTCTGAATCCACTGGGTGTTCCACAGGAGAAAGACGAGGTAGTCAACTTCTGGAAAGATTTACCGCCTCGGAAACCCTTTAGAGCAGCGGTTCTCAACCTGTGGGTCGCGACCCCTTTGGGAGTTGACCCTTTCACTGGGGTTGCCTGATAGATAATAGTAGCAAAATGACAGTGATGACGAAGCAACGAAAATAATTTTATGGCTGGGGCGTCACCACCACATGAGGAACTGTATGACAGGGTCACAGCATGAGGAAGGTTGAGAACCACTGCTATAGAGGGCTTCTGTTCTGCCCTGGAGGGTCTCTATGAATCAGAACTGAAAAAAAAGTGAATTAACTATTGATATTTTATTCTGGATAGTGCCCAATTTTCTGTTAAAGAAAGTTTGTATTAAGTATATAAGAGTTGGTCTCTCTTGGCTGGTATACAATAAGGAATTTATTGCAAATTTTACCTTTGGCCCTGGTGCCGGTGAGGAAGTGAGGAGCCAGGCTGCCAAGTGTTCTCTGGCACTCTTACCTTCCCCTTGTAATTCAGGCAGCAGTTCAAAAGTAAGCGCCTTTGTTATACGTGTGGGAAAGAGCCACAGGCAGGCTTGAGAAGCAACCCCATCTCGCAGCGCTCTTTCTTTCTGCCCGCATCCGAAAGGCTTCTTCGTGGTCCCCTTCCAGCCCCCAATGCAGAGAGAGCGCACCCTTGTGAAACCCTGAGTCTATGTCAGAGCAGAGGACTCGTGGCACAATGGGTTGTGCATTGTGCTGCTAACTTTAAGGCTAGCAAGTTCAAAACCATTGGCGACTGTGGGAGAAAGATGATGTTCTCATCAAGCTCTAGCCTTGGAAAGCGACAGAGGCAGTTCTACTCCCTCCTATAAGGTCACATGAACTGGAATCAACTTGATGACAGGTGGTCTTTTTGTTTGTTGATTGGTTGGTTTGTTTATCCAAGAGTAAAGCTATCATACTCTATTGTTTGTATTCAATTCAGTAAATTTAGTGAATGGGAACAAGAAGGGAAACCATTCTAGATCTGATGTCTGTTTGTTTTTCCATGGTCACAGGTTTACTAAGGAGTTAACAAGTTCTAATGCCAGTAAGAAATGTTCAGGGTAGTGGTTGACCAGGACATGCTACAAAGTTTCTGGTCAACTAGTAAATGCCCAAGGTGGCATATCACTGTGCTGTAATGCATTCTGCTCAAGCTCTGTAGGTCAGCAAGCCCACCTTCCTGCATTAAGTGCCCAGAGGCATCCCAGTCCAGCAAGGCTCAGATCAAAGGTACTCACTCAGTTCCACTTGTTTGGGTTGATGTGTGTACTTGATGACTGCAGGGTACCAATGGGAAATGTTACTGCCATGAAAGCTCGTCTTTGCTGAGGAAGACCACTGCCGACTCTTGCCCATAAACTTGCCTGGACTCCAGTGGCGTGGCCAAGAGAAAGATGAGCTGTCCGAAGGTTGCCAGTACACTCCTGTTTATGCAACATGCTACAGACTGTTTCCGTGGAGTTGATCCAACTCTTGGTGACCCTATGGGACAGAGTGAAACTGCACTGTAAGGTTTTCAAGGGAACAGACGGCCACAATTTTCTCTAACATAGCAGCGCATGGGTTTGCGCCATCAACCTTTTGATTAGCAGCCAAGCACTTAACCATGATGCTACCAGAACCCCTTCCCTACCACACACTGTTGTTAGATACCGTAATGTTAGTTCCATCCCATAACGACTCTGTGTACAGCAGACAGTGCCTGGTCCTACCCCAGCTCACAATTGTCATTATCCTTGAGCCCAAGGTTGCATCCACTGCATCAGTCCATCTGGACAAAAGTCTTCCTCTTTCTTGCCACTGCTCTTCTTTGCCAAATATGATATCTTTTTCCCAGGACTGGCCTCTCCGTGTCCAAAGTATCCTAGCTGAAGTTTCACCATCCTTGTCTCTAAAGCGTGTTCTGACTAGTTCTTGAAGACAATGGCTGTGTCCCTCTGGCAGCCCATGTTCTTCATCAGCACCGTAATTCAAACGCGGCAATTCCTTTTCAGTGCATTCTCCAATCCAAGTCATGTCATAAACAGTGATTACTTCCCACAGTAACCCACAACATCCTATCTAGTAAAGCTATTTGTTTGTTTTAGTATTTTTAGTGAAAACCAGTAAAAATACCTTTGTGTTTTTCATCAGATTGTTAGTACCACCAGACTTGTGTAAAACCAGCCTGCACATCTGACTTTTCTGAATATTTTCTAAGAGAAAATGCAATCCTAGCTCCCAACTAACATATAGTTGAACTTGCAGTACACACACTCTAAAGCTGGGAAATCACTGTGCCTTTGTAACATGTTCTTCAGTTCTTATTTAGTGTTGAGTGCCTGAGAATATGTGATCAAATTCTAGTCTGTGTCATGTTATCAGCACTTAAGAAGTCCTTGTAGTGAAATCTCATCGGGAGTCTGGGCATCATCCAGATGCTCTGATCCAAACCCACTGTTGTCGAGTCAATTCTGACTCATCACAATTCCAGAGGATGGAGTAGAACTGCGCCATAGCTTTGCCCAGAAGGTAAACCCTTATCTTGATGGACGACGGTAGCCTCCCTCTTCCTGTGGCTAAGTCAGTGGGTCCGAACTGCTCACCTTGTGGTGAGCAGCCCAATGCTAAGCTCAGAACACCACCAGGACATCTTTCCACATGCTCATCTACTATAATTCTCCTCCTTGGGCTTCCCCTTTTTTGACCTAAGTTTTCTTGACAGAGACCATGCCCTCTTTTATTCTAAACCAAACCAAGGATACTGTCAGCCCAGGTTAAATATTTATCAGCAGAAATGTCCACAGTGTATTAGGTCACCTGAAGGATACGCACATGATTGTTGTCAGGCAGAACCTGTTGATGGCGACACGGGAAAGATATTTATTTGACCCAGGAACATACTACAGGCATTGGTTCAAAATAGTTGTGGTTTGATTTGCCCGTGATTATTGGAATTATTCCTGTATAAAATGGCTGTAGGGAGCCACTGAATTCCCATGCCACCCCTCATTTTTATTGTTGTTTAGATCCCAACTACAGCCAAGAAGGAAAATGGAAGTTTTCATGTGTTTCCATTTTTATCTATGAAAGGTTAGCTCTGGAAGGTGAGAGCCACACATAGAAGCCTAAATACAGACATGTACATATGTAAATATATTTAAGATTATGGGGGAAATGGACCTAGGTGCAAATATTTATAGGTTTAGTAGTAGGGTCGCAGGTGGACACTGGGGCTCCTCATGTGCATTCCCTTAACACAAGAGCACCTTGCTCAGCTAAACGGTCATTTCATGATATCTACCTTCCCGACATTATCACTGAAGACACATATGTGCATAAGCAAATGTGGTGAAGAAAGCTGATGGTGCCTGGCTATCAAAAGATATAGCCTCTGGGGTCTTAAAGGCTTGTAGGCAAACAAGAGGCCATCTAGCTCGGAAACAAAGCCCACAGAGAAGAAGCACAC